ATATAACTATTGTTTATTGTTAGGTCATGTTATCTAACAAATAAAATCTTATTGTAAAGTGTTTTTAATACTACAGTTTCCATCTATTTGATATACACTTAATAAATGTAATTCTATCTAAATTTATTATAAAAGCTGAGGTTTGTTATTTACTGAAAAGTTATATTTTAGCTGGTGTCAATGATCTTATGTTGCATTTGGTCAGACTCAGCCCATTGCTTTACTGAAGTATATTATATTGTTCTTTTACAGCTGCAGACTGAGGAAGATCCTGAAACACACCAGCAAACCCTAAAACAGACAACAGTTTACAGATGTTTTTCAGTGGCAGCAGAACTATGACTTACTTTTTTCATACTTTTATTACTTGTGGAAAAACTTGAAACAATTTTAAATAAGTATAAAGAATGGCATTGGTTTTGTACATTTAATTTTTGTTTAACGTTATTAATAAAAATGTTGTTAAATTAGCATGTTTTTGTGTTTTGCTTTGGTACCGAAATTGGTACCGAGAACCGTGGATTTTCACTGGTATTGGTACCGAATACTCAAATTTTGGTACCGTGACAACACTAGTCTCATATGTGTGTGTCAGGATAACTCTCGAGAGCTGCTGGAGAGATGGAGGCAGAGGTTCGAGGACAGAGGTCTTCCCATTCTGATCTCAGGCCACAGCTCACCCAGCCCACGCGGAGGTGTGTATGTGTGTGTGTGTGTTCGTTCCTGTCTTCACATTCACCCAGTTATGATGACACACATGTGCGGAGCTCATGTGACGTTAAACAGACACACACACTCTGTCCGTGCGCTTCAGGAATCAAAAGAAGTTTCTTATCAGTGTTTAGCTGATGTTGGGAGCTCAAAACCTCTCCGTGTTCAGCATACCGAACTTTCAGCATCACACACACACACACACACACACACACACACACACACTGAGATCTGTGTGTGAGAGCGTAGGCCATCTTAACCGGATTAACTCAACTAATGTAGCAGATATTACACAAAAACAGGTGATGAGTGTGACAGCAGCCTGTCCATAATGAGCCTCAGAAATACAAACCACAGCTGACGTTTATTGGCTCCAAGAGTAAGTTGATAAGAAGAACATTGTCAGCATGTTTATGTAATATATGGGTTGGATTTGCTAAAAACCAGGCGGTGCGTCAGAGCTCCGGACGATTCCTCTGCTTTCAGGACGCGGTGAGTGTGTGTGTGTGAGGAGAGTGTGTGTGTGTGTGTGTGTGTGTGTGAGAGACATGTACCACCTGTGAGTGTAAATACACTCCTAATGAAGGCGTGTGTTTGACAGAGCTGTCAGAGGAGCTCAATGAATGACTGAAGCGTGTGTGAGAAGGTAAAACATGTTCATATATGCATGTAAATCTATTCCACCTTTTTGTTGGGTTCACGATGGCCTCTGTTGTGTTTCATGTCGACCGAGAGCCAGTGAGTCACTGTGATACTCAATACAGAAACACATGCTTCAGATTGAGTGTGTGAGTCCCCTGCGGTGTGAGTGAAATTCATGAGAAATTCACACATACTGGAGGCTTTCCATTGACTTCTGTTGTTTTTGTGCTGCGTTTGCTGGCAGTGCAGTCCATAATAATGATGATAAAACCGAACATATACGCTTGTGTTAGTGATTTAGTGTTGTACTGTTCAGCATGTGCCCTCGCTGTGATATTGTGTAATCAGATCTGAGATCGTGAAGCTGATGTATCTGTAAGAGTCTCTCCTGCGGAGCCGCTGGAGCCGAACATGTCTAGCTCTGTCGCAAGAAAGGGCGTGAGAGCGAGACTAACAAGCTTTCCCTTGCTCTTCAGATTCACAGCAGCGCTTCACACAGATGAGCAGTTCTCTCATCCTTCACTCGTTCTCAGGTCGGTTCTGTGGAGCTTAAAAGGAGACGTTTAGTTGAATGTTCAAGCTGCTCATTTCCATACAAGCGATCAACTCCATCAAGCGACAAAAAGCACTTTAAAAATAGTCCCAATTTCAGTCTGTTTCTCACTCAAAGCATTATATGAGTTCATAGTATTTTTGGAGATTAAAAAAAAAAAGAAAACCTTTTTATTATTATTACTGTTAACTAAAGCTATTCAGATTTATTGATAGAAATAGTAGGTGGAAAAACTAAAAAAAAGAAAATTAGAAACTTAAGTTAACTAAATAAATAAGTTGAAATACTGAAATTACTCAAATTAAAACCAAAATAAATACAAATTAAAGATAAATAGAAATATTTCAGAAAGGAAAAACTAATACAAATAACAAAATCGCTTAAGAGAATTTCTAAACCTAAAATAAATTGAAACAGAAAATATAAAAATAAAAGCTAATTCAAAATATTAAATATTGTATAGTAAATATACATTATTAAAATAATATATTATTAAAATATAATGTAAACAAATACTATGATATAACACACACACACACACACACACACATACATATATATATATATATATATATATATATAT